AATTCAAAGTTAATTAAAGTTACAAACTAAAAGGAAAATGCAATGCACCAATGTTACAAATTAAAGTTACAAACTCAAGTGTTGATGGTGAGTGGATTTGAAGAACCCCGTTGTGTTGTTTGAGCACCAATGTTATCTACAAAAAAACAACATAGTTTAGTACATTTTATTATGAGATATGATTTCCCCACTCCCTTTTTCTCTACTTACACTCCCTTTTGTTTTTTAGTACTTTTTAATCAATTTTGTTATTTCTCTTTCCTATTATACCATTACCCTATATTAATTTCATTTTACTTCACTTTTATATTAGTTCTTTTTTTTTAATACTTAATTTTTCAATTTGCACTCCATTTTCAGTATTTTTTTTTTCCTTTAATCGAGTAAGAAATTAAGTTTTTTTTTTCCCTTTAATACTGAATATGGAGTGTAAGTTGAAAAATTAAGTATTAAAAAAAAAGAACTAATATAAAAGTGAAGTAAAATGAAATTAATATAGGGTAATGGTATAATAGGAAAGAGAAATAACAAAATTGATTAAAAAGTATTAAAAAAGCAAAAGGGAGTGTAAGTGGAGAAAAGGGGAGTGGGGAAATTAGCTCCCTTTATTATAAGAACAAGCATAAATAAACTAATTACTTACAAGTTGTCATATGTTCCATTTCCTTGTAGAATTCAACTTCATCATCCGTGCGGCTATACTTTGCGGTTTGCGATAACCGCAAGTTTTGAAAATCAAATACCGCAACCGCAACTGCAAATGCGGTTCGGTTCTTAATACCGCAAATGCGGTTCGGTTTATCGCGATTGCGGTTTTATTGCGGTAAATTATCGGTTGATTTTTGCGGTTTTTCGGTTTAAAATGCCACCCCTAACCCTAGCTGTGAGAATATTTTCCAACAACACAAATTTACCACTGTTGACCTGCTAGTCAATAACGGCATCCTAATTTTTCATTTGCAAAAAGGTGGGGCTGGCTCGTCGTAATTACTCGGGTGACTTCGAACCGTTTTAAATACATTAGCCCTTGGAATGTTGTATGGCTTTAGCTCTCTTTTTATCTTTTTATCTTTTTTTTTTTAAAAAAATATTTAAAAAAATTTGTTTTTCCTAAAAGTTTTCTTTATCTTAAGCACCAAGTCACTGAATAGACTTTAAGGTCATCCTCTACGAATAGTGTTTTTCCTAGACCTCTCTTTTTATCTTGTTTCATTTATTATTATTTTAAATAATTTGTTTTTCGTAAAAAGTTCCTTTATGACTAAGTCACTGAATGGACTTTTAAGGTCAATGTCATCCTCCACGAAAAGTTTTCCAAAGAAAGTACAACTCGATAATTATTTTGATGTAAAAGGAACTTGTTAATTACGTTAGAAGATGACACTCAAATGGTCAAGGACTTTATAACAGTTTAGATGACTGTTTAGATGATCATTGCTCTGTTTAGGTGATCATTGCTCAAACACATCAAGTAGTTCATTCAATACAACCTTATGGATCGTCCCTTGAGAGTTGTTTCACTTCTCAGTTTTCTAAGCATTGCAACCATTCCGGTTAGCTTAGCCAATGGAAATCTGGGTGTGCCTTATTGCAAAGAAATCGAGAGACGAGCCCTTTTGACGTTCAAGCAAGATCTTAATGATTCTTCAAATCAACTTATGTCCTGGGATGGTGAAGGAGACTGTTGCAATTGGACTGGAGTTGTCTGCCATAACTTAACCGGTCATGTCCGCAAGCTCCGCCTTGGTAATTACTATTTGGCTGGTAAGCTAAATCCTTCTCTGCTCAATTTAAAGAATCTCCATTACTTGGACTTGAGCAACAATGATTTTGAAGGAAGACAGATTCCTAACTTCTTTGGTTCTCTTGCAAGTTTAAGACATCTTGACCTCTCACAAGCAGATTTTCAGGGAATAATTCCTCCTCAACTGGGGAACCTCTCTAATCTACGCTATCTCGATCTCCATGATAACTATTTTGAGGTGAAGAACCTTCAATGGATTTCTGATCTTTCTCTGTTGCAACACTTGGACATGAGTGGTATAAATCTAAGAGAGGCAGGTGATTGGTTGCTAGGGACAAACATTCTCCCCTCTTTGCTAGAGTACTTAAACATGTCCAATTGTGGACTTAATCAAATTCCAGGTGGTATTGCAAACATTACCACTCTTAAAGTTCTGAATCTCGAAGCTAATTCTCTCAATTCTACCATACCTAAATGGTTGTACAGTTTTAGCCATCTTGAGTCGCTATTTCTTTCGTACAACGGTTTGTATGGCGAAATTTCAAGCTCGATTGGAAACTTGACAAACATTGTCAATCTTGACTTGTATGGTAATCAACTTGAAGGGCAAATCCCAAACTCATTGGGAAAGCTTTGCAAGTTGACGGTTCTTGATCTATCAAGGAACCATGTCAGGGGAAGGGTTTCGGAAATCCTTGAAAGTTTTTCCAGGTGTAATTCAAGTCAACTTGAGTCTTTGAGTTTATCCTATAATAATCTTTCTGGTCATCTGACAGAGGAGCTAGGAAAGTTTAAAGCCTTAACCGTCCTTGATCTTTCCAGCAATTCAATATCAGGTCCCATTCCAGTGTCCTTGGGAAATCTATCATTCTTAGAACAATTACGCATTCATAATAATTCTTTCTGGGGTGTTGTCTCTGAAGTTCATTTTGCCAATCTTACAAGATTGGTGAAACTTTATGCAAATAAGAATTCATTGACTCTGAATACCAGTCGAGATTGGCTTCCACCATTTCAACTTCAAATATTGTTCTTAGATTCTTGGCACCTGGGGCCAGAGCTACCTATGTGGCTTCAGAGACAAACACAATTGCAATATCTAAGCATATTCGATACAAGAATTTCAGGTACCATCCCAACCTGGTTTTGGAACTTCTCTTCCCAATTAAGGTTTGTGGATCTCTCTCGGAATCAACTGTCTGGGGAGATTCCAAACATAGTTGGTGCCCCTATAGACGTCATTGACCTGAGTTCCAACAATTTCAGTGGTTCATTACCTCTTGTCTCCTCCACAGTTGATGTACTAGATCTTTCCAATTCATCATTTTCTGGATCTATCTTTCACTTCTTTTGTGATAGCATGGATGGACCAAAACAGCTTAGAATTCTCTATCTCGAGAACAACCGTCTCACTGGAGAAATTCCTGATTGTTGGGAAAACTGGAAAAAATTGATTGTCCTGAATTTAGATAACAACAATTTTGTTGGAAACATTCCAAACTCCATTGGACATTTGCTTTTCCTCCAATCACTGCACTTGCGGAATAATCACCTCTCTGGAGAATTGCCTACGTCCCTACGGAATTGTAAGGACTTGTTAGTTGTTGACCTTGGTGAAAATAAGTTCACTGGTAGCATACCGATATGGATAGGGGAAAGCAATTCAAATTTGATTGTTCTCAGCCTTCGTTCAACTATGCTTCACGGCCACATTCCACATGAACTCTGCAATCTTTTTAATCTCCAAATCCTGGACCTCGCGCATAATAATCTATCGGGAACGATCCCAAGATGTTTCGACAGTTTTAGCGCCATGGTCAGCTTGTCAAACTCAGGAGGTCCCATTTCATTCTTCAGTTATATGTATGGTTCCTCTGAGAAGTACATGGAGAACGCAATCTTGGTGACAAAAGGCAGAGAAGCAAAATATGACAAAATTCTTAGTTTGGTGAACAGCTTGGACCTTTCAGACAACATGATATCTGGAGAGATCCCTCAAGAAGTGACCAGCCTCACGAGCTTGCGATTTTTGAATTTATCAAGAAATCATTTGATTGGAGAAATACCTTCAGAGATTGGTGATATGGGAACGTTAGAATCTCTTGATCTTTCCATGAACCATCTTTCTGGTGAAATTCCTCCAAGCATGTCGACTTTGACATCTCTAGCTGACCTGAACTTGTCTTACAACAATTTGACTGGACAGATTCCGCAAAGCACACAGATTCTGGGATTTGATCAGTCCAGGTTTATCGGTAACAAACTTTGTGGACTTCCACTCAATTACAGCTGCAAGGAAAATTTGGTAATACCACCAGTAGCTGTTGAGAAACACAGAGGAAGCCATTTAGTTGAAGATGGTTGGTTCTATCTGAGTTTGGGACTAGGATTTATGTTCGGCTTCTGGAGTGTTCTTGGTTCGTTGCTGCTAAACTTTCCATGGAGCTTTGCCTTTTCACAGTTGCTGAACAACATTGTCCAAAGACTTTATAGTTAGTTGCAGATGGAGGTAGTTTGGTCTGTTTTCCCTGCTACATGCATATGGAGAATAATGTTGAAAGCTTTCGTCAAATTATTTCATCGTTTGCAGTGTGTTTGTTCTCTTTTTTTTTTTTTTTTTTTTTTGGGGGTAAATGTTGTTTTGTTTTACAAATAAGAAAAGGTTATGCATCATATATAACGCTAAATTGTACCAATGATCCTTAAATTATACTCCGGTGTCATTGATTGGGATTATTTATCACTCTGCATTCTTTTGTCTTTTGTTGATGCTCTTTTCCGGAGAGGGTCAACTTAGAGATTGGGGATTGTCCTTAGCAAGAGAAGGGTCTGGGCCTTCAGTAGAGGGCTAACTTGCAGAAGACAAAGATAGGAGAAGCAGTCGTTAAGCTTCGGACACCGGTGTGGTGCCGACCGAAGGCTCTCCGATGCCTGAGTCAGCTAGGGGTAGTGACTTTTGCAAAGTAACAGTAATAGTGAGAGAGAGAAGTTACCCTTTTTCTTGGTTATTGTTCCTATTTATAGGGAAGTAAAAGTAGGAGGTTTGCACAAAGTTCCGATGTGGGACTTTGTGCAAGTTGCTGTGATGATGACACGTGTCTCCTGTGT